CGGCCGGCTCGCCCCCGGGATCCTGCACCCCGGGGACCCTGTAGCCTGGGGTGTGCTCCAGCCCCCCGGGCCATACCCCCGCCCCAGGGACCCTGAAGCCCGGAAACCTGCACCCCGGCTCAGCTCCCTCCTGGGACCCTGCACCCCGGGTGGTTCCGCACCCTGGGCTCTCCTCTGCCCTGGGGTCCGGCACCCTGTGCTACCCCCTCCCGGGGACCCTGCACCCTGGGGACCTCGCATGCCGGCTGCTCCTCCGCACCCCAGACCTTCCCCTGTCCCATGTCACCTCCACCCTGGGGACACGACACACCGGGAACCCTGTGCCCTCAGCTCCCCTCTGGCCCGAGCCCCTGTGCCCTGAGGTTTCCCCTCCATGGATGCGGCACCGTGGGCTCTGCCCCACACACCCGGCCGTGCCCTCACTGCTGCACAAGCTGTCAGTGAGCGCAGCCTTTGTGGGGGGCCCCTTTGCTGCCCGCCTGACCCTTCATCCCCACTGCTCCCAAACCCCCCAGTCCCCTTGAGACCCTGCCGGGCTGTGCAGGATAGCGTGTTTTCCAGGAGGTTTTGCCTCCATTTGAACCCACAAAGTTGCTTTTGCACTGACCCGCACAGGGCTCTGCGGGGGCTCCCAGCTGGATTTGCACGCTCCTGCCAGGGCAGGCAGCATCGCCCTGCCCCACCCTGCCTTCACGACCCCCGGCAATGCCCGCATCCCGGACCAGAACCGTGCCGAAGGGGCCTCCGTGCTGGAGCGACAGCGGGGAGCGTACAGGGCCTGATTCCTGCAGGTTGGAGCTGATGCCGGCATGGCCCTTCCCCAACCAAGCCCTTGAAAGCAGCCTGTGGATGAACCCCCCAAGCTCAGTGGGACACGGGACACTGTTCCGCAGGCCCTGCCTGTGCTGCCTGCTTCCCCCACGCCTGCACGCCCTCCTTGCACCAGCATTTCTGAGCCAGGCCAGAGCCGGAGCCGCCCTAAGAGGCTGCAAGAGTTTGTGAGCAGCTGTAGAGCAGCTGCCGGGGCCAGCGCGGGGGCTGGGGCTGCGGCAGGCGCCCCGCAAGCAGCTCAGCTGGCTTTGGGGATGTGGTGGGACCCCGCTCGGGGACATGGTGGGAGCCTTGAGCCTGCTGCCGCCAGGCTTTGTTCTCAGAGCAGCACGGCTGCGGCCCCTCCCCAGGCTCCACCTCCACAGCCCACCCGAGACCCTCCTTCCGCTGCCTGTGCACAAGCTCCTCGTATGGTGCGCAGAGCTGGTGGGTAAGAGCGGCTCTTGGCAAAGCACAGAGGCACCTTGTGTGGTAGAGGTGTCATCAGTAGGGACCAGAAGCAACAGGGCACCAACCAGAAGGGGCTGATCCCCCAGTGGGTGCCAGCCTTGGAACAGCACAAGGGAGAAGTTTGGTTCTCCCTCAGGGAGAGGCAGGCTGGCTGTGGCACCGCGGCTCTGCCCTGCTCCAAGGCCAGGTACCCCAGGGCTGAGCTGGCACAACCTGTTCCCAGGCCGTGCTACCCCAGCAGGCTCTGTCCCGCATGGCTGCCTTCCCTTACCCCTTCCCTGCCCTCCACTCACAGGTTGCTGTCCCAGCTGAGCCAGGGCTGGCTCGGTGGCTGCTCACGTGGGGCCGCAGTCACCTCACCTTCCCCAGCGCGTCCCCTGACCTTGGCTGCGCAGCTGGAACTCACACTTGGGCACTTACCACATCCCTGCTCGTCCTGGCCCTGCCAGGCAGGTGCCAGCGGTTTCCATCCCTTTTCACCACCCTGGCCTGCTAGTCCTCAGTGTGACTGTCCCATTGCCCAGCCCCAGTCTGCCTCCATCACTCCTGCTTTCCCCTCCCCATCTTTGATGGGGTTTTGCACTCCTGCAGCTGGCACCAGGAGATGTGGCACCGCAGCCACAGGCCAGCTCTGGGTGATGCTGGGAGGCATTTGGCTTCCCGCAGCCAGCTCCTGCCCCCAGCAGAACCTTCCAGTAGATTAGCAAGACAATTTTCCTTATGATTGCTCATCATGGTAAGAGCTGCAATTATTAATGACCGTTCCAGCTGCCAGAGCAGAGTGGGAGGAGCGGCTGTTCCCCGCACCCGCTGCCCTCCAAGGCCATTCCAGCTGGAGGTGCCGGCGTGGCCTCGCACCCGTCCTTCGGGACAGCAGCTGCATCGCATGAGTGAACGCTTGGCTGCTCTACGCACACGCAGAGCTGGTGCACGTGGCTCACGCGTGCCCCATGATTTCTTGTCCCCTGCACAGGATTCATGGCCAGGGCACAGCAGGGACTGGGGAACACCGCCAGGCAAGCAGGGACCCCCCTGCAGGGTCCAACACCTGCCCCATTGCCCCTTGCTGCAGCTTTGCCCCCCAGATTAATTACCGCCTCCGTCAGCTGTCCTGCCTGCTACAAAGAGAGAGGGATGACCCAGGTGACATGAGGGGTCAGGCAGAGGAGGGGAGATCAGAGGCAAAGATTTTCCCCGGAAAGCTGGAAGGAGCTGAGTCAGGCCCAGGGGACGAGTGGGGCAAGGGCTGAGCGTGACCTTCCCAGCCGGCCGCACCTCGCTCGGTGAAACCACAGGCTTCAAGACAGCCGGCACTTGCAGAGAAGTGTTTATTAAAGGCACTAAAAGCACCGTGGCTACATCAGCGGCAGCCCAACCGGAGAGTGTGGGTTTGGGAGAGGCATTTACAGGCCTGGGACGGCGGTGGCAGAGCACTCTTTGGTAGGAAGCCGTGCCCGAGCCTTGCGGGAGCCGGCCAGCCGGCCGGCCATCAGCACACACTGCCAGCCCATGGCTGGGGTGGGCTTGGCACGCTGCCCTGCTCCCCGGCACGGCTGGGCTGGGGGTGCTGCCGCACGCCAGCCCCAGGGGAGCAGCAGGCCAGCTGGGTTGGGGGACACGAGGCACAGACCCCTCTGGCACTCAGCTGGGGTAGGAAGCCACCGCAGCAGGCTGCAGGGTGGCCGGGGGGTTGTGCAGGTAGGGCCCTGGCAGGGGAGCAGGGCCGGGTCTCCAGCCCCACACACTAAGCACGCAGCAGGGAAGGCAGGGAGAGCTTGGCAGGGGGCTGGTCTTCACCCTCTTAGGGATGTTCTATAGGAGCATCCCTGCCCCGGCACTGAGCTGCCAGGCACCTGGGCCCCAGCTAAGCAAGGGAGCAGCCCTGCTGTGCCAGCCTCGGTACGGCCGTGGCTACCACACTGTGTGGCTGGGGAGCAGGAGACCCATGCAGCGTCCCCTTACCGGGGCTCCTAGTGCCAGTTAGGGGGTGCAGAAGAAGCCACCCAGCTATAAGGGGCTCAGGACCCAGCACTGCCTCTTGCTGGAGCTGGACCAGGAGCTGCTAGGAAAGAGGCAGGAGCAAGGGGAAGGGGTGAGGGCCCAGCCTGGCTCCCTGGGGTCAGCGGAGGTTGGGGCGGGGGCAGGGGGGGGAGAGGAGCATGCAGGGCCAGGGGCACGCGTGGGCACAACTGAACTCCCGCCCCTCACACGTGGGAGAAAGCATGGCTCTTGCAGAGCGGCTTGTCCTTCTTGGAGTAGAACGTCTTCCCTTCCAGGTTGGTCTGGCAGATCTGGGGAAGAGAGCACAGGTGGTCAGGTCACGGGGGGCTGACCCAGCCCCCAGGTCCCCCCACAGCCCAGGGTTCAGCACTGGTTGTTGCACAGACACCAGGGAGCAGGAGGCTCAGAGCAGGCTCCCAAGCCACCAGCACAGACACAAGTGAGGAAAACCTCATGGCAGCAGGGACCCCGTGCTGCTGGCATACCCCACGCAGGGCACGACTGCCAGGGAGAGTCACAGCCCCCACCAGCAGCCGGGGAGGGATGCACATGGCTCACCGCACAGACGAAGCAAGTGTCATGCCAGCTGAACCCCAGCGCCTCCAGGAACCGGTCCCCAGCATCGATCTTGAAGTCACAGCCACGGCACTTGGTGCCAAACATCTTCTCGTAGTCTGCGAGGAGAGGCAGAGCCCAGGTCAGCATTCCCTGGCACCGCAGCCCCTCATCCCAGGGAAGCAGGGCTGGAGCACAGCCAGGAGCCCACAGGCACAGCCTGGGGACAACTCGCTGCCAGCCCCGGGGGCATGGTGCCCGAGACACCCGGGTGAGATGTTTGTGCTGTGCAGTGGCCCCGGCTGCCACCACGCTGCAGGGAGGAGGCAAACCTCATCTCCCAGGATGCAGCACTCGCCTTTGATGTACATCCTCCATCATCGCCATGGCAACATGGGAGCGATGGCACTACCCGGCAGCAGGGGAGGACCGGGATGGAGGGCTCAGGGCTGTGGGAGGGGGGTGCCTGCATTCCCCATGGCCCAGGGGGAGCCCCTCAGTGCATGGCAGCTCACACCCCATGCCTGTGGGCAGCTGCTGAGCCCCAACAGTGCCTGGTGCCCCAGGGCCATGGTGGGGGTGACACATGGGGTCCCTGGGTCCTACCTCTCTCGCAGTAGGGCTGTCCCTCCTCCATGTAGAAGGCACGGTTACGGATGGGAGTTTTGCAGGCAGCGCACGTGAAGCACTGCACGTGCCAGGTCATCTTCAGTGCGTGCATGACCTCCTGGAGGGGAACCGCTGTCAGCTGGGGGCAGGACCACCCTGCACTGCAGGGGAGCCCCAGCCAGGGCAGAAAGGGACAAGAGATCCCATGGGATGGGATGGGACAGAGCCAGGCACCTGTAGGTGAGTGGGGAGCAAAGACAGGAGATGTGGGGCAGGCTGAGGGACACTCACCCCAGTGATCTTCTTCTTGCACTTGGCGCAGCTGGGTGCGTAACGCGTGTCGTAGCACTTGGGGCAGAAGATGGAGCCTTTCTCCTCAAAGAAGCCGCCCTCATCCAGCACCTTCCTGCACTGGCAGCAGGTGAACTCCTCGGGGTGGTAATAATGTCCCAGCGCCACCAGGTAGCGTCCCCTGCGGCAGGACAGAGCCACGTCAGCCATGCTGGGGCCCAGGATGCTGGCGTGGCGGCGGTGGTGGCCAGGGCTCACCTGATGACCTTGTTGCACTTGTAGCAGAGGGGTGTGCGGCCGGGCCCTTCGGGGACTTGCTGGGCTGCCTGCACGATGGAGCTGCGGTTCTGCATGGGGGTCGGCGTGGCCGGCTGGCTGTGCTTGCTCACCACCGTGCTCGTCTTGTCCGGGGCATAGCGCTCAGCAAACGAGGGGTCCACAGCCCAGGGCGGGCGACTGGCAGGGCCAGGGGTGGCGGCGGGGGTCCTGGGGCCTGCATGCACACACAAGTCTCCAGGACAGTGCTCCCGATCCCTGGGCAGCCCCCCCGGCGCCTGTGGCTGGCGAAGCAGCATCCCCTAGTGCCTCCGCGCCTCTACCCCCAAGCCCAGAGGAAATGTTTTGCTCACCCAGTCCCGGCTCAGTCTTCATTGCTGCTCCCGGGGATGGGTCCAGCACGGAGACCTGGCTACAGAACAAGCAGTTAATCCAGCCTGCCCCGCTTGCCCCCGCTGCCCTATGTGTGCAGGCAGGGCCCCCCCACCCCAACAAGCAGGCAGGAGCCAGCCAAGCCCCCGTGCCCAGTTGGTAGCTGGTTTGGCGATGGGGTACCAAGCCAAGCGCCTTCAGCCCTGCGAAGACACAGCACCCCCAGGGTCTTTGGCACCCACTGCGGTGGTCTGGGGAGCGGTGGGAGGGAGCACAGGCCTGCTGGGGTCCCACAGCCAGCTCTGGACTGCTCCAGACTGATCAGGGATCCTGGGGACCACACAAACCCCGGCTATCTGCTCACACACAATGGTCACCCCCAGCCTCATTGGGGTGCAGAAGGGCTTGGACCTGACCCGGCACGGGGAGCCCTGGGGTCCAGCTCCAGCAGAGCTGGGGACAGGTAGGGCTCTGCCATCTCTGCCGGCTAGGCAGGGCCAGGCTGGTCCTGGGAGGGGCAAGGCCTGTGCCCCCCAGCAGGCTGCCAGCACTGGGCTTGGGAGCAGGCAGGGCAAGCCAGGGCCAGAAAGGCACAGCCCACCCAAGAGTGGGGACAGGGACAGAGGGAGAGCTGGTGGCTCTGTGCCTCTCCAGGGCAAAGACAAGGAGGAGACAGCTACAAAACCAGGAACATTTATTTATGGCAGAGTAAACCGAGCTGGGCTAGGACCCAACGATCACGGTGCCAGGGCAGGAGACATTGTGGAGAGGTGAAGGCAAAAAAACGGGCGCTGTGCACCACCCCCGCCAGGCTGCACAGGGCAAGGAACAGCCCCCCGCCAGCGTCGGCTCCCTTCCCTGTCCCCACACAGGGAGAAGCTGGTGACACTCACCCAACTCTGCCCAGTCACCCTGCAGCCCAACGCCAGGCTCATGGGACATTGTGCCCCAGGTCCAGGTGCTGCCCAAACATCACAACCCCCCCAGCAAGGTTTTGCCAGTGCCACCAGCTGCCCCTGACCTGCTGTGTCCGGGACACCACGGCACAGCTCAGCATCCCCAGCTCGGTGCCAGCAATGCCCAGCAGGTCCTGCCCGGGACATGCAGCCCCATAGCTCCCGCTGCCGCCCTGGTGCACACTCCCCTTACCTGGGCTTTTTAACAAACACATCATCATGATCCTCCACTGAGCACAGCAGGACAGAAAGGAGGAAACAGAGTCAGTCTGCGGCGACCGAGGCCCCGGGACAGCAGGAAGGGAAAGGCAGGAAAACCGACCTCTCCTCCCACCACCCTCCTGCCCCAACGCACAGCCCTGCCTGTCCACGGGGCAGAGCGCAGCCCCAGTCCAGCAGTACCACCACGTACCCACACACAGCCTGCGCCACACACAGTCCAGGGCAGCTCCTGTTGGCTCAGCCAAAAACCAAAACCAAAGCCCCTGCTGCCACATCACCCCACAGCCTCTACCAGGTTCTTGCTACCCCAGCAAAGTCTGACACCCCCTGGGCAGCCAGGCAGCACCAGGCCCTACGGGAACTTACTGCCATCTGTGCCCATCAGCCGGGCCAGTTTGCGGAAGGAGCGGGACTGGGAGGTCCCGGTGTGGGGCTGCCACTCCTCAGCATCCTCTATCAGCCGCAACTTTCCGGGATTGCACACAGGGGTGCTGGGGGGCTCCAGCGGCTGCGGGGGCTGCCTGTGAGTGACAGAGGGCAGGTGCTCAGCCGGCACCATGCACGTACCCTGCCCAGCACCATGGCACAAGGCAGCGCTCCGGAAGGTGCCCTCAAACACACTGACCCCATTGCCAGACCCCAGCACTCACCACTGCTCCCCTGTGCCCCAGCCAGACCCGCGGGCATCCCTGTGGCATCGGAAAAAATGGCGGCACAACTGTCAATGTTTGACCCATGGCTCAGTGCATCCCTCCCATACACACCCGCAGCCCCACAGAGAAGCTGGCAGCATTCACTCCAGACCAGCCTCCCAGCCACCCCCCACAGAAAAGCCGGTGACACTCACCCAACTCTGCCCAGCCGCCCTGCAGCCCCACACCAGGCTCACAGGACATTGTGCCCCAGGTCCAGGCACTGCCCAGCACCTCCCAAGACCCCCAGCAAAGCATTGCCGGTGTCACCAGCCTCGTCCAGATGCCGTTTTCTCAAGAAGCAATGGTGCAGCTCAGACTCCCCAGCTTAGTGACAGCAGTGCCCAGCAGATCCTGCCCAGCACAGGGACACCCCGTCTGGGGACAGCCTGCCTGGCAGGTGGGTGCCTGGACAGGACCCTCACAAGGGGACGGTCAGAGCAGTGGCTGAGCACTGGCGGTGCCCGTCGCAGGGGAAGCACAGGGCAGGCTCTGAAGGTCCACCAACAGCTCAGCTCTGGGGAGAGGGAGAGGACAGAGAGGGAATGGGAGGACAGACGAGGAGGAGAGGAGAGGAGAGAAGAAACAACAAGGTAAAGAGCTTCCCTGGAGTCACAGCAAGCAGCGAGGGCAAACCAGCCAGTGGCTCTCACCCAGCTGTGCCCAGCCACCCTGCAGCCCACGCTGGACTCATGGGCCCTTCTACCAAGGTCCGTGCACTGCCCAGAACATCCTAACATCCCTAAGCCAGCTTCTCCCTGTGCCTCCAGCCTCCTCCAGAACTTGTTTGCCCCAGAGGCCACGGTGCAGCTCAGCCTCCCCAACTCAGTGCCAGCAATGCCCAGAATCCTGCCTGGGACATGCAGCTCTGTATACAGCTCCTGCTGCGGCCCTGGCACATGCTCCCCTTACCTGGGCTTTTTAACAAGCTCATCCTCACGATCCTCCACTGAGTGCAACAGGAGAGAAAGGAGGAGACAGAGTCAGTCTGCAGCAACCAAGGCCCAGGGACAGTAGGAAGGGAAAGGCAGGAAAACCGACCTCTCCTCCCACCGCCCTAATACCCCAACACACAGCCCTGCCTGGCCACAGGGCAGAGCACAGCCCCAGTCCTGCGGCAGCACCATGAGCCCACGCACAGCCCCAGTAGCTCCCACTGACTCAGTCGCCCCAAAGGAGCGACATGGGGCCAAAACCAACACTCCAGTGCCATGATGCACCACAGCCTTTATCCGGCTCCAGTTGCCCTGGCAAAGCTGGGCACCCCCAGGCAGCCAGGTAGTGCCGGGCCCTATGGGAACTTACTGCTGTCTGTGCCCATCAGCCGGGCCAGTTTGCGGAAGGAACGGGACTGGGAGGTCCCGGTATGGGGCTGCCAGTCCTCAGCATCCTCTATCAGCCGCAACTTCACAGGGTCGCACACGGGGGTGCTGGGGGGCTCCAGCGGCTGCGGGGGCTGCCTGTGAGTCACAGATTTGTCTGTCAAGTCTGACAGATCCCCATAGCATCACCTCCCTGGGGCTGCCCCACACCTCCCCCAGCACAGAACCTTAGCACACCAGTACCTGAGACGCCGCACGTTGCCTTACTGCCCACACCCCCTACTCCTCCTCCATGTAGGAAGGGCCCATTAAGGACTGACTCAGGACTGACCACGATTCCTGGCAGTCTGAGACTGGCCCCAAGGGCCAGGAGGGGAAAGGACAGGGCAAGAATAAGCCAAGGTCAAAAAAACTACCAGCAGGGCAGCTGCATGAGAGCCCAATGAACACCTACGGTGCCCATGGCAGTGCTACCTGCCTGCCTGGCTCTGGGCAGCATGCCCTGGCCAGCCCTCGCTCAGTCAAGCCACATCTCAGGGAGGAGGGAAGGGATCACACATGAGGATGCTCCAGGGCCCCAGCAGCTGGCAGAGACAGGCAGCGCTTGCCCTTCAGGCTAGGGACAGCTTGGTGCCAGGAATGACCCACCCACACGGTCAGAGCAGTGCGTGCTGCCTGTCCCCGGGCTGGCCCTGCCCCGGAGATCAGAGCACTAGCAGGGAAGAGGCATGCAGGAAGGATAGAAAGAGCAGGCAAAAGGCTTACTGACTTGTCAAGGCTCAGCACCTGTAGGGGAGAGGGAAAGAGAAAGGGAGGAGAGAAAGAAAGAAAAAGGAAGGTGAAGTTAGACCCGCAGCACCCAAGAAGTTTCCAGAGCTCACCTATGGCCTACACCAGTCCCCCTACCCCCGAGACTCATGCCCAGCTCGACCAGGGCTGGGAGCACACTGGGACGCAAGGGCAGACGCCAACGGACCAGACCATGCCTCCCTCAGCCCCCCAAAACAGGCCTGGGTGCCCAAGGCAGCCAGGGCCATATCCCCCCACATTGCCCAGTTTCAAGGCACCATGGCAGCTCTCAGCAGGAGGGGCAGGGACCGGCAGCTGCAGGACACACGGCAGCCGGGTGGGCAGCCCGCAGAGGTGGGAGCTTCTTTCCCTGCAAGCGGGGCAAGGACAGCGCTGCACAGGGCTCGAGGGCTTCACTTTGCCCAGCCTGTCCTGGCAGCCAGAGGACTGGCAGGACATCCCTGCGCAGGCGCTGGCTGGTGGCCACAACACAGACACAGCTTCTCTGCCGCTGCAGACACCAGCGAGTGTCCTGATACGATCGCCGTGCCATGCCCCACAGGACTCCCCACAGGCTGACACGTCCCCAAGCAAGGGACCAGCACGTGCGTGGCTGTGTGTCCCCACGCGTGACAGTCCTGTTGTGCCACCTCAGCACCAGCCATCGGGGGACCCTGGCACAAGCACTGTTGCCCACTCCCACCCATGGGTGCCTGGCATGCAAGGCGCAGCAGGGCCGGGCAGCAGGCTCCCCCCAATCCTCAGGGAGCAGGACGGACAGCAACATACCCATTGTGTTGGGGGGTGCAGGCGGGCGCCAGGGGCGCGTACGTCACGGGTTTCGTCACCAGCCCGGGCCGTGGGTTCGGAGGCGAGCCGGCCCCAAAGGGCCGAGCTGTTTTGTTGAGGGCGGTGCTGGGAGCGAAGTTATATTTCAGGGGTTCAGAGCAGGGGAGTGAGTCCTGAGCGAGACAAAACACACAGACACGGGCTCACACGTCAAGCAGCATGCAAGGGGCAGCCCCGGGGCCAGGCAGTGCAGCAGGAAGCCAGGTAGGAAAGCTGGACAGCACATGCATTTCAGATACCGAGCTCTACCAGGCTGGCATCTCTCTCTGCAGGGCACCTAGCCCAGCAACAGCAGGTCACAAGCCTGGCCCAAGGGTCATTGGAGGATTAGTAAGTGCCTCAGACACTTGCTGCTGCCCGCTGCAGGGTGGTGCATACATACACGCCGATCACAACCGTCCCGCGGCACGAAGCTGAAGGCATGCAGGTGGCTTCAGTCCAGGAGCCACTGGTCACCAGCCCCAGCCCTGCCTCCCCATGCCAGGGCACTCCCCAGCACTAGCAAACATGGGCCCCTGAGGCCGTGCTGTGGCTGCCCGGCCTCCTCCCCTGCGTCAGCCCCCTCTGCATCCCTGCCCACAGCCGGCATTGGCAGGGGCGCAGACAGGCAGCAGCCAGGGCCTGGGCACCCACTGGGCAGACCCCACTCCCTCCAATCCCTTGCGGTGCCAGGGGTCAGAGTTGCTCCTCCAAAGGGGAGTTTTCCAGCCCTCCAAACACACCCCAGTCCCCCAGAAGCCTGCGGGTCCCAGGAGCAAAGTCCATTTCTCCACCTCCACTCAGAGATTCCCCTCCCCTGAGATGAGGCTGCGCAGCCGCTGCAGCGCCAGGAGCGACACGTACCTTCTGCGGCTTCCCCAGGTGGTTCTGGGCTCTGCAAGAGAGGAGACAACTGGGCAGGTGGTGGAACGGGCCCAGCCACTACTGGGATACTGGTACCCCAGGGATGCAGCACCCACCCAAGAGGAGCCATGGCTCGCTGGCGTTGCCCTGTGGCTTACAGGTGAGGGCCAGCAGCCAAGCTAAGCCTCATCCAGCCAAGCAGAGCCCTTGGGCCCAGCCAGGGGCTGCCAGGCTCTGAGCAAGGAGCAGTGATGCCAGGAGATGGTGGTGCCGGGAGATGGCACTGGGCAGAGTGCCCTGGCTCTGCTCTGGCCACACCAGGGCCCCAGGTTTGCATGACCCGCAAATCCTACCTGCTCAGGGTGAGGCAGAGCCTGTCCCCACAGGCACGGATCCTGTTCTGGGCCTCGATGTGCGTCATGGAGCTGGTGCTCTCCCCGTCGATGTACAGCACCCAGTCACCCACTCCCACACCGGCCTGGGCCGCCTTCCCACCGGGCGTCAGCTGCAGGAGAGACAGAGTCAGGGAGAGCCGGGCCAGCCGAGTGGCGATGAGGGAGCAGAGAGACGGCCTCATCCTCATGAGGGCAGGGGTCTGCTGGGGCACAGGCTCCCTCATGCAAGGCCCAGAGCAGCCTCTTCCCCTCGGTGGCAGTGGAGGGCTCAGCACTACCCCAGGGCGCTGCCCAGCCCCTGCCTTCTGGCACGGCTGGGGGACATGCCGGCACCCCAGGGCCCCATCCCCATGACACCAAACGGCAGAAGCGGCGCTGGCTCAGCCTTGGCAGGAGGCCCAGCCACCCCTCGGAGCCGTCCCCACGGTCCCAGGGTAGGAAGGGAGCACAGTGAGTCAGGGCCCGTCAGGCAGCCCACGTCTCGCTGCAAACCACAGGCATGTCCAGCTCTTTGGCTGGGGTGGGGAGGGGGGACAGGAGAGGCACCCCCCCGGGCACTCCCCCCAGCCACCCGCGCTCCCGTCCTGTTCCCCTCCCGGTGCCGGCAGGCGCAGACATTACCTCATCCCCACAGAGGAGCGGGAGCTCCCCACCCGGGGCAGGGAGACACCCACCCACGCCGCTCCCCCAGACCTCACCCCGCCGGGGCAGCCGGCAGCACGGCCATGGGTTCCCCTGCCTGGCCACAGTGCCGGGGATGTGCCTTGCCCCCGGCATGGCTCTACGTCAGCCCCATGCCGGGAAGCAGAGGCTGCCCTCCCCTCCCGCCAGGGATGCACAGCCGAAGGTGAGCAGGGCCCTGAGCATCGCATGCAGCTCCCAGGCACTGACAGACAGACAGACAGACGTGGGCAGGCTGCAGCCATTCCTGCTCCTCCAGCACGGAAGAACTTGAGGCGCTTGGACCTGGACCAAGTATTTCCTCAAGTCCTGTTCGACATGAACATAAAAGGAGCGAGCCAGATTCCCAGCGCTGTCAGAGGGCTGAAAAATCTCTGCCGCCGAACCCCAGCCCCTCCTTGCCTGTGTGCGGAGCCCAGCCCACCCCAGAGCCACGCTCCCCTTCCCCACGCTCCCCTTCCCCACACCAGCACCGGCCCTCCAGGTGAGGCCAAACCCCACGCCTAGGCTGGATGCAGCCTGGCTTCACCTGCATCCCGCTGCCATCCCCGGCAGAACATGCGTACCCCCTCCGGTGCCCCCACGCTGCCCAGCACCCGCTCCTCCTGCCCAGCACAGGAGGGCGCCCTGGGCGGCAAGTGGCACTGGCCGGCTCCTGGCCACACTGCTGCAAGCCCTGGCTTGCCGCCCTGGAAGGCTGGGGAAGGCGCGGGGCGGCTGCGTGGGTTTGGAGGCAGGAGCGGGAGCTGGGAGAGGTTTTCACACGGCTGCCCGGGAAGGGGAGAGTGCAGCAGGCTGCGTCACGCGGCCGCACCCAGCCCGGCCAGCACTGCCACGCTCCCCTTCCCCCTCTGCGTTGGCATGCCAGGAAACCCCTTCGGCAGGTGCCAGCTCAGCCAGGAGCCGTGGCAGTGCCAGCACTCCTGCTTCCCACCCAGCCCCGCTAACCAAGACTTCCTTCCTCCCCTCTCTGCCCAGCCAGTTCTTTGTTCCCCATAGCTCCATCACTGCACCCAGCAAGATGCCCACTGGCCACCCCTGTCCAGGGCTCAGGCACCCCAGAGAGAGTCTCACCCAGCACAGAGGGAAGTGGGGCACCTGCACAAAGGCCCAGGCAGCATCCCCCAGCACCTTCCCGCCTGCAGCACGGAGGGTCTCTCCTCTTCCCTGGCTAGCAGATACCGGGACGTGCCACAAAGCATCCAGCTCCCCAGACGCCAGCCCTTAACCTGGCTCCAGCGCAAGCAGCTCAGGACCACAGTCTCACAGCCTGCCTAGCCAAGGTATCAGGACCCCAGCAGAGCAGTTTGCCACAAGAAGCATGCGTGCAGAGGACCAGGATGGTACCTCTTTTGTGCGACCACCGAGCTGAAGCAGCCTTGCAGCTCACCCAGTAGTGTCACAGCAACGGACGTAGCCAAGAGCCAAAGCACGTGCCAGTGCTGCTTTCCCCCTATGCTTCCCTGGCTCTACAGAGCACGACCCCACTGCAGCCCTCAAAGCTGCGGCAGGACACTTTACTCCAGCCTGCTCTGGCAGCCCCATGCCTGGCAGTGCCCTTGCTCAAGGCAAGCAGTGGCCAAGGACAGCAGCGTGCTCCAGGCAGGAGTTTTAGGGCTGGGGATGGCTCTGGTGTGCAGAACAGAACAGGGTCACCCCTTCCCATCAGACATAGCCCACCATCACACAGCCCAGCCTCACCAGAGAGCCCCCAAAAGCTGGCTACATCCCCCAGGAATGTCCTTGCTGCTCCTGCTTGCCCTGCCCAGGGCCAGCAGCGTTGCCCGAGCCCTGAGGGCAGTGCTGGCCTGCTCGCACAGCAGGGCTTTTGCTTCACAAGGCCCCTGCCCTTGGAGGCTCCTCCACCCGACCAGACCCTTTGTTCAGCGCTGGCTCGCAGCCAAGAGAAACATTTTTTAGAGAATAAACTCGCTGAAGCCGTCTCTGCGTGCTCGGCAGAGATCGGCAGGCCCTGGGGCAGCGGCACTGGCGACTCAAGCCTCGCACAGTGCCCTCAGGGTCCGTGCTCCACGCTGGGGTGCTGCGGAGACCCGCGCCCTCTGGGACAGGCGCGCGGTGCCAGGCTCGTGCTGGGGGCAGGCCCCTACGCAGTCCTTGGTGCCACGAGCAAAGTTGTCCTTCGAGAAGCAGTCTCTGTGCCAGCTGCCTAAGCGTCAGCGGCACGGACGATGCAGTCACATTCCAAGGCTTATAAGGCAATTGCGTGGCCGGAGCCACGGCCGGCACCCACCCGGGGGACCAAGCTGCCCAGGGACAGGGACCCGCACACCCTCGTAGCCTGGGTAAACATCACACCAGGAGCAGCTCACGCCAGGTGCCTCAGCCACAACAAGCCAGCAGCACAACGGCTCTCACTCATGATGGAGAAATGGACTGGTTTTGTGGAGGAAGCCAGGTCCCAGGGCAGGCAGCAGTGTGGGCAGCAGCTCAGGCTTCCTCCCCTCCCTGCCCATTTCAGGGGCCAGCTCAGGTACGGAGCTGGGAGCCATGCAGCAGGAGGGAGGGCAGAGGGCAGAAGCTGGGTCCTGGGACGCTGAGCCCAGCATTGGGGTGCAGACCGCGAGGCCAGCCCCACAGCTTGGAGACAGTGTGAGCAGCTCCCCTCCCCCTGCAGTAGGCATGCTCCGGAAGGGGCCTCCTCCGTCCCCCCCAGCAGCCAGAATGACTCTGCAGAGGCTGCTCAACATTTCACATCTCTGCTGTGGTCCTCTGCCCGGAACACCCCCGTGCTGGACTGCAGCTGATAAGGCACCAAGGAGGTTACGCAGAGCCAGGCAGTGCAGGACGCAGCACTCCCAATGCCCCAGCTCATCTGCATCCCCCACATGGCTCTGCCTCAGCCCCCTGGACACAGCCACCATGGCAGGAGGAAGGATGGGTGTCACCGGTCTCGGCTTCTCTTACCCTGGAGATGGAGAGTGGCATGCTGAAATCCTTCCCGCCCTGCAGCCTGAAGCCCCAGGGCGCCGGCCCGTTCAGCATCACCTTGTAGGACTCCATGTCACCCATCTCTGCAAGGGAAGAGGGTGTGATCCTGGTATTAGGGTACACAGGAACGATGCAGGGAGAGCAGGCGAGGAGGGGGCCTGGTGCCTGGCAGGACAGGGCAGAAGACAGCTGATGTTTCTAGAAGTAACTCCACCCTGACCATCCTACACCACGGTTAGGGACGCACCCCAAATCTATCAGCATCTCCTCCAGCAGTGTCAGAGCCAAGGGGCCCAGGCTAACACTGACTAGTGCCAGAGAGCCAGGCACAGCCCCACTGCCACCCACAGTGGAGCACCCATGGGCTCTGCTCTCCCTCTCTCAAACCCAGGACGTGCTCTCCCTTGCAGCACCCCAGAAACTCACACTACTGAAAACCAAGACTGTTTCAGACCTCAGAGGAGTGACAGCAGGTATGGAAGGATGGGAACCAGAAGTGTTTTTGCCGGGTGAATTAGCAGCAGCAGCGCAGGAGCTGCGTGATGCCACCCGAGGCGCCTGGCAGAGCAGCCAGGCTGGCGCTCCGGCAGCCGGCCGAGCAGATGCTACCTGGGAGCGAGCCCATCTCCACACACAGAGCCGGGGCTTCGTCGGGCAGGGAATCCCGGCGCTCCCCTGCCTGCCAGGGCTGCGCTGACAGCTGTCAGCCGGCCAAGGCTCCGGGCAGACGGGCCAGCCCCAGCCTCCCGGCCACCCCTCATCTGGAAAGAGCCGCCAGGCCCCCCCGCGAAGCCCCCCAGAACCTTCCTCCTGCCAATGCCAGGTGGGGGACAGGGCCAGCTTCGGCGACCCGGTGCCGTGCCCACCCCTCGCATGGGGGCGGCGGGCTCCCAAGCTGGGAGGTGGCGGAGGCTGCAGGGCCGGGGGCCAGCGTGCCCCCGCTCTCCCCGGGCCGGTGCGGGCTATATAAGGCGTGTAAGACGACACCAGCCCGCTCCCCGCTCGGGAGGGCCGGGGGAAAGCTGCGTGTCAGGCATTCCCGGCGCCCGGCAGCCGCGCAAGCCCCAGCGAGGCGCCGGGACCGGGGCGGCCAGGAGCGGGGGGCAGGCAGCCCCCCGCGGGGCTGGGGCCGGGCCGGACTGGGCGTCCCCAGCAGCCCCAGGCTGAGAAGCCCTCCTACTCCTGAGGGGCCGCCGGCCCTGCCCCACGGGGGGCCCCGGGCCCCGCTCCCCATCCCGTCCCGCACAGCCTCCCTTCCCCGGCCGGCCTTGGGGCCAGCCCTGCCCTACACGGGCCCGACCCCAACCAACCGCCTTCTCCAGACCCAGGCCTCAGCCCT